TAGGAATTATTCCTTCTGCCTGATCATATAATTCACAAATAACACTTGATCTTTAATGGTCTTGCATACTGCTTTTCAACACAAAATTGCAAAATTGACCTAAGATTTCCATTTGCCTAACATTTCCATTTTCCTACAAAATTAACCTAACATTTCCATTTGCAAAATTAACCTAACATTTTCTTTTTCCTACAAAATTAACCTAACATTTCCATTTATCTATAAAATTACAAAATTAACCTAACATAAAGCATTTTACCAAATCATCAATTGTGAAGCAAACAACAAATTAACCTAACATAAAGCATTTACCAAAATTAACCTAACATAAAGCATTTACCAAATTAACCTAACACAAAGCATTTACCAAATCATTCAAAATTAAATATTGGAATTTGGAAATCATAAATTTTACCCAAATCAAATTAGAGATTGGAGTAGCCGAGTAGGCAAGCAAGCAGTAGGGAAGAAGCAACTAAACTCGCAGGGAAGGAGCAGCCAGGAGCCAGCTGAAGAAGAAGCAGGCAAGCAGCTTAGTGCTTAGCAGCCATAAAAGAAGCAGGGCAACAGGCGAACTGGGCAATCAGGCAGGATCGATGTAATGGAATGGGTGAAGTGAAGTCGTTCGTGAATCGTGAGTTCGTGACTACGATTGCGATTTGTGAAGGAGGGAAATGGAATGGATGGGGCCTTCATACTTATCTTGTTGGGGGCCGAAACCAAATTAAGTTAAAAACTATAAAAAAAAATTGGGCCTTCTACACTTCATTTTGTTGGGGGTCCCAGAACCCAATCAAGTCTATATGCGTACGCCCCTGCATATGAATAATCCATGGAGTAATTAATAGGAGCTAAAGATGGACCCGATGTAAAATTATAGGGTTATGAAAAATGTCACTGTATCAATTTTTTGCCTGCCACCATATATACTTTGAAACTACAACAAAGACACAAGTTCCACTTGGTAGAGTTGCTTTGCGAGCCTTTCATTCCATCCTGGACGCATGTTTGAATCTCGTTAGTGTCATTTTCTTAGTTTTTTAGCTATTAATTTCCGATTTATTATGTTTATGATTTTTTTTTTGCAATAACAGACTTGAACACAAGATCTCACGTATGAAAAATAATGAATTAACAAACAGACCTATGATGATTTTGTGAAATAATATCCCTATATTTATTTCTTATAAGTAAATGGTGTCATCGTTTAAAATTTATGGATCCGTCCCTGATAGGATTTGACGATATTTCATTGCCTAGAGCACCGAGTATATGCTTCAACAGGAATCACACAAGGTTTGAGTCAGTGATTGAAAAACTTCCTTTAACTCGTGCGGTATAAGGTGGTGGGTCCAAAACGAACCACATACATGCTTAAAGCATGTTACGCATGTAAAGTTCAACTTTTTCTTTGAACGATGAATATGTCATATTGCACAATCATCAAAATTTAAAATATACGATGACTAATTATGAATAACTTTTATTATTTACTAATTATATCTTTAGAGAATCTAGTGTCGTTACAAGTTCTTCTCCAATCACAACTCCGTAACAAGAACCCAACTTCTAATCTCGTTCCTTACCAGTTCTTATTTGAGCAAAGTAGTACTCCATTTTCCTATCTAGATATAACCGTTCATATATAAGAACAACAAATAATAGTCTAATGTTCGGTTATTATTATATATGTATCTATTTACATCATAATCAGATCAAATCATATATCAAAAATGTAAAACAACTGTCTTCTTGTTAACATTTTACAAGAGATGTATATAAATGATATCAATAAGTATATAACATGCATTTAACCTCCCCTAATTTTCTTTGTCCTTATGACTTCCATATTATACACACACACACACACACACACACACACATATATATATATATATATATA